TACGCTTCTGCTCTTCCGCACGTGTGCACATCTCCACAGCTCTATAATATTATTATTATTATGTATGATATTATTGTTGTATTAGAATATTGTGTGATTATTATGTGACATTATTTTTATATCATAATATACCAGCTGCATGACATTATAGAGTTTGATTTGGATGCATATAAAAGCTAAAGCGAATTCTAATTCCGAATAAAATGTATCCAATTAAAAATTTATGATTCACAAGTTGGAGTTTGAAGTTAAAAATCGAAGAGCATTTTGTTTATAGACTATAAGAGAGACCAGGGCACTTGAGACCTCTCGGGGACCTTATTATTTTTAATTCTGTTAATCAGATAAAATTTAACTTTTTTTTTATTATTAAAAAATGTCTCTGGTTACGGGACAGAAAAAAAAAAGGGAAGATCGTCGTATTGCAGTGTTTTAGATTTAATAAATTTTACAGCTGTAAAATTTGGAGGAACAAATACTTGATCAGACTTTCTCTAAAATAAAAGTGCACATAATCATTCAGAATTGACTCTCATCAAAAGTTAAAAAACACTGCTAAAAAAGGATGGAATGAGACACTACTGCATTTTTCAGTTAAAAATGTGCTTAGAGGTCATTCTTACAAAACTGAATCAGAGAAATCAGGCATTTTAAGAACGACTCGCAGAAAAAATAGTGATTATCAATAATAACATTAAAGAAATAAGCCTGAAGGTTACTTTTACTGAAAAGAAGGAAAATGCTTAAGCATGCTATATTGAAAAGATAAATTCATGAGCTTGACATCTAGTATTGTGAGTAAACTAGCGTTTTATTTTACTCTATTCCGCATGTTCAATAATAACATTAGTATGTATTATACTTTACATTAATTTGTTTTCTTTCCGTCAATACTTTAATACCCTCCGACTTTTAGGGCTTGCTGGCGAGGACTGTGTTGCAGGTTTTATGAAAAGGCACAATTTTTTCAACCACAAATCACAACATACTTCAGCTGTTAGAAATTATGTTTTTAATTAACAGACTGTGAATGATTTTTACAATTTCAAGTATCCTTACTTAATGATTACAAGTTTCTAGCAGAAAATGTATACAACGTTGACGAAACTGGCATATCAGTTGTACTAAAAAAAACTCCAAAAGTTATGAGTTAGGAAGGACGTAAAAAAGTTGGTTGTCTGTCAGCTGCATAACGTGATGAGACGGTAACTGCAGCTGCAGCAGGTAGATACGTATCCCCATTGTTGATTTTTCCTCGAGTTTAAGAAAATGAAGGGTGTTTGAAAGACGCACCCTCCGAGACTGTAACAGAATGCCACAAATCTAGATACATGCAGTTAGATATATTTCTCAAGTGTTTAACATGTTTCATTGAAAAAGCAGTTCTTCTTTGAAATGTCACTTAATACATATGTTATAAATCAAGCTGAAGAAAGTAACGTTGTTATTTTGTGTTCCCCTCCTAATTGTATCTATCGTAAGCAGTTTTCAGATGTTCGTTTCATAGGATCAATGAATCGGTATTTTGGGTGAGAAACTGGCTGTCTAACGTCAAGATACATGAGAAACCTTATTAAATTTATTTGATGTTTTTACAAAAGCATTTACCCTAAATGCTAAAGTGGACACTGTTTTAACCTTTTTTAAAAAAGTGTGATATTGTACCTTTTGACACAACTGTTTTATTCTTCTTTTTTTGTCTTACTCTAATGACAGTTATTACTATTTAATTTTTCTGATTCAATCTAAAAACTAACTCATTTTATCAAGATGAACAGGAAATAAACGGTCCAAGACAAATCTTATGTGCAAACTTTTATAAACTTATTAACGTACAAGACTCGGTCAATGAACAAAGTGTTTTTGATACAGAAAATCGAGATACATTGACTCATTTTTGACAGTTGCTCCAGATTTTTAATGTCAAGAAATCTTCTGAATATAGACAACCATAATCAGTTTTTACTCTTTATTCTAATTATGTTTAGATTTTGAGTCTACTAAACTAAGATCTAAGGTAAATTGGAGCTCATTCTTTTATTCAATAAAATTATGTTTGAACCTTTAATACAAAAATATATACCTTTTAAACGAAAGTACTGTTGTATCAAATGCAACAAAAAAAAAGGTAAGTAGAAAAAAGAGGCAAGTGGGTCTCTGATCAAATTCACTTACAAGGTAGTGAGGTAGTCTGAAGGAGATAATACTCAAATATTCCATCAGAACTGGGGAACTATTTTAATTAAAAACATTAAGAATATTCCTCTCCAAAAGATGTTCTTTTTAGCGAGAAATGCCTTTTTCAATGGTTCAAACTACGTTCAAGAAAAGAAAGTAACAAAATTCTATAAGTGACATAAATGACTTATAAAAAAAAGTAAAGCTTTACTAGTCTTGCCACTCTTGCCTTAAGTATTGTAATGTTATGTAAGCTATATGATAGAAGGAGAATTGATTTAAGATTTTATGACTATGTAAATGATAGACTAACAAATTGATAAGTAATCAAATAAATATACAAGTATGAACATCTGGAGAAAATTTTTTATAAATTTGTTAGTTACCGATACAATACCCTGAAAAATATATATTTCTTCTTTTCATTGCATGAATATGTGATTCATTCGTAAGAATATAGATTCAAACGATTCGTTCAGAGTAACGTACCAAGTATGAGTGACCTACAAACACTGGAGTATGGCCACGTTTACCAAGAGTCAAGTGGACAGTTTAAGACGAATTTCCGTACAACATCATTATCTTGCTCTCTTTCAGAGTTTTTGCACTCGAGTGATTTTTAACAAAATAATCAAGTGCAAAATCAGTATAAAGCTATTAGAAGTGCAAAAGACTGACAATTCCTAGCCCATGCAGAACTTAGCAGTCAACGTTGTTTTTACTGTAGACACAGAAGAACATTTTTTTTAAGATGAGGGGGGCGAAGGGGGTTACGGGGAAAAATAACCGAAAATCTCTGTGAAATTAACATTGTTCTGGCATTTTTGGCAATAAAAAAGAGAAGGCTTTAGGAAAAGGATTCAAGAGGCCAGAAAAAAATTTAGATGGTCAATGAAGAGTTCCAATAAAAGGGCATTTTACAGTAAAAAAAAGATAAGTATGTAAATTATCCATATTATGTGTGGGGAAGGCTTAAAGAAATGCGAGTAAATGTGAAAGTATGGACAAATGTTAAGGAAAAGGCTTGGAGTTCTGCTGCTTGGCTCAATTCGATTTCCATTGTGACATTTGAAGATTTACATTTAAACAAGTAAATGTTATAGAGACTGACAAAATTAATGATATTTGATTAGGAGATATAACTAAAAATAACTCATTTTCGTATAACTTGATAGATAAGCTACATACCGTCAAAGAGTTGGTGTTAATTAAAAAACGATTTGTTTTGGCCTTTGTTACAAAAAAAAAAGCTTACAATTCTGGCACGCGATAAACAAATTCATATTTTTTCGTACGTATTGTCCAAGCTGTAAGACTTAAATAATAGTGAGATCATATTAAGTTTTCGGCAATGGAAATTCAGACTAGCACGAAAAAAATATATTGTAGAGAACTAAACAATGCTAATTGATTGTAATAAAATCGAACAAATAATTTTTTTCACCAGGGCTTCAAAGAAAGTGGTGAAAATAGTTAAACACGGTTTTTAGCGTCTGAAACGAACAATACGCCTTAAAAAAAGATATATATATATAGTATGCGTGAAAAAAAGACGAACAGAATAAGCTCCGGCCAATCCCAATTGGTCCAGTGGTTTTCTTAAAAAATGCAAAAAACCTTGTTTTCTGAGCCAATATTGAAAAATTATCAACCCTTTTTTGCATAAATATTAAGAGCTGAAATTTAGTAGAGTTGTATTGTTAGTAATCTTAACTAACTTTACCAAATTTAAGCAAGATCGGATGGATAGCTTTTGCAAACCGCAGCTAAATGATAAAAAGGTACTTGGGCAAAACGGTCCAAAAAAAGTTGTATAATGTTTAGATGCAACTTTTTTGCGGGATCGTATTCCTTAATACTTACAGTACAACTTTTCAAAGTATCAAATTTTTTTGCTATGTGGAAGTTGTTGCAAAAATAATAAACTGCACCAGTATATTTTGAGCACGGCAGTACGGCGCGTAAGGGGCAATGAGCCGCTGCAACCACCGATGCATAAATCACGTCCACTCTCTGAAGCTTAACACCGACGTTATCGACCGAGTACGTTCAAACTGCAAGCGCTCCTAAAAATAACGATATCTCGGAAACAAATGATCAACTTTCACACTACGAAAAAAATTCGATACTTTGGTAAGTTGTAGAGTAAGTATTAAAGAATACGATCCCGCAAAAAAATTACATCTAAAGTTGTCAACTTTTTGTAGGCAGTTTTGCTAGAGTCCCTTTTTTTCATTTAGCTGCAGTTTGCAAAAACTATCCATCTGATCTTGCTGACATTTGGTGTGATTATTAAAGATTCCTGAAGCAACAACTCTGCTAAATTTCAGATCGCAATGTTTATGCAAAATTGAGTTATTAATTTTTGAATATTGGCTCAAAAAACGAGGTTTTTTGTATTTTGCGGGAAAACCACTAAACCGATTGGGATCAACCAGAGCATATTCTGTTCATCTTTATGCCAATCATATTACTATAAATATATATTTTTTTTTTTGTAAGGCGTGTTATTCGTTTTAGATGCTAAAAACCGTGTTTTACCGTGTTTTTACATTTTTTTAAGCCTTAGCAGAAAAAATTGTTTGTTCGATTTTATTACAATCGATTGGCGTTGTCTAATTCTCTACAGCATATTCTTTTCGCGCTAGTCTGAATTTCATGAAAAATTACTGACATTTTAGCTCATTCGATCACACTATGAGATTTTAAACAATTTTTATTGTTTTGCAGTATCTCAAGTATTATTCAGTAACAATTCAGTTTAAGGATTATACCAACAGTCTAACTGTCTTATAACAATTTAAACAAAAACTTATACATACCTCCGCATCCTCTTCACCAGAAATGTATTCTTCCAAAAATCTACTAAGTAGAGATAGGAAGACGTCATCAGATAATTGGGAAGACATTACAACACTTTCATGCAATGGACTTGAAAAAGTTGAATTCTGATTTTGTAAACTATCAGTATTAGAGTTGTTATTGTTTAATTGACAACTATTACTGCGAGAACTTCTGTCGTCTGTAACAAATTTTATGAGAAAAAGAGAGAATTTTAGTTTAAAAAATAAGAATTATTGGTTGTATTAATACAATAAGCTTAAAATAATATTCAAGAGAGAAATTCTAACAAACTTTTCAATAATTATCTAGTCAACAGTTTTATAAATATAAATATACTGAAAAATTCATCAAGATATATACATTGTCGCTTTCAAGAAATTACTAAAAAAACAGGGAGTTCGGCAAAACTTATCGCGATTTTTTTCTTGAATGAATTTTTTAGCATGCCATCTAGAACTTCAGCAAGTTTCTTTTCAAGAAAAGTCAACACCCAGTTCAACTACTGTCTTTTTTGTCTAAATATTAACTTGCACTGTAGACTAAATTAATTTTAAATTTTTTAAAGAAATTGTACTATAGTAAACATACTTTGCGCTTTTAAAAAAAAAACTTAACTAAAATACTAAAACTTATGTATAATAAATGAATTTATTGAAATGTGATATTCTTTATAGTGAATAATATTTTAGACGGCCGGACCTCTTGCTTGCAATATCAATACTTTAACAGTAAAAGTATAGATATTAGATCATATGACTTGTACAAGAATTTTTATGAATAATTCCAAAATATTCAAAATTATATTAGTTAGAACGTAGCCAAATTTCTTAAGTGAAAATGTGACCTCTTATTACGTTTGTCTTTACTGTCACTAATCGTAGCATTCATTTTAACTGGCATCTTCTAACCAAACGACGATTTTTTTACACAGAGAACCATATTTAGTGTTAGTGTTGCAAAAATATTTTTTATTGTAGGCTTCATTTAAACAAATTTTGAGCAAAACGGAAGCAGTTTTGTATAGACATTGAGAAAGTTGGCAAATATGAAAAAATGTTCACAAAGCAGAGAAAATAACACACAAAATCGAAAATGTGTAAAAAGAAAAGAAAACAGTGGATAGTGGGGGCTTGGATACCCAAGTTTGAAGTTATACTTCTATAAAATTATGTGGCAGACACTATATTTATGATTATAAATATACCTACTATGAAACGATATTGTGTACGAAGGTGTTGGAATCATCATTAGAATGAGTGTGCCTACATTAATTGAGAGTGTACATAAATATTTAAATATTCAATGAATAAACGATTATAAAAAGTGTATTACGGCACAATACAATGTTAACAGCATGTAGACCAACCAGTACAAGACTATACACTTTCATCGAATCTTCCAATTATTTCAAAACTTCCTACCACCTACGCTGATGACATCTCTAACGGTAAATTTCCACCTGTCACATACGCTCACACACTTATTCCTTGTCCATATTTAATACGAAAAATATAATGGTATCTAAGTGGTTGAGATAAACTATCCTGTAGTACCGCTTTCTTCAATAGGGTAGTAATACACGTCAGTAAATGACCTTTCAGGACGTTTATCACGCATAGGTTATTTTGACAGATATTTTTTTAACATGAAACATATATTTAAAAAAGCATAAATAATACCTCCAAAAATTGCAGATCTTTAAACTAAACACTTTTTTTGTATATGTTTTCTTTTAAAAAAATCACAATTTTACATGTAACATTATGAAATAATCACGTAAAATGTTATTTATATGATCTGTAAAAATCTCTTTACTATTTTGGTATAAAAGATTACTTTAAGATAACTCTATCAAATTTTTAAACACATCCACAAGTTGATTTTTGAATAAATTTCAAAAGAAGAATGCGTAAAAGCGGGTATGTAAGTATATCTATTATAGAAGAAAAACAACTACCAGCGTTGTTGCATATGTTTGCGCTCCTCTCATCTCTCTCAACTCTTCTCCTGCTAAGTGTGATAAACGTCCTAAATAAAAAAATGACTTAGTTGCGAACAAAAAAATTGTTAACAAATGAAATGCAATAAGAATAAACTAATGTATTCATAGAATAAAAAAAACTTTTTTTTAATGTTTAAAAATGTGAAAAATATTTAAAAATTGTGTAAACAACTATTAATTAATTATAAAAGAATTGAATTATGACTTATTATTACGTAAGAAAGCTTCCCTGCCAAAATGAAACAATTTCTTAAGTTTCAAATAAATTATAAAACTGAAAAAACCAATTTATCAAGTAAGTGATTCATATATAAACAAAGCAATTAAGTTATGAACAGTACATGAATATTAAGATTTAAAATAAATTACAGACCGTACCATAACTAGAAGTAATTGAATTTCTGAAATCGGATTCGCTCATAGGAGAGTCGGTAAGGGCCTTGGTTTGTATGCAGGAGATAGTGGACTCAAGACTCGTAAAAAAATTCAAGAAAATTCGAAATGTGTGCAGTAGTAGAGTGGCGTCATGTGATGTGGCGGGTACCGGAGCTGGACTCTGCTTTTTTGAAATAACGTTAGAAAAAAAAAATCAAACATCCGATAAATAAATATAAAGATCTATAATTCTAATCTTAAACTGGAAAGCTGGCAAATTGAGCAGCGATAAGGCTATTTTATGTCTCCTAGGTCACCACATTCACCAGTGATCTTGGAAATACAAATTGGGTAATGAGCAGATTGCTCGGGCAGTGAGTGATTGCATGGTAGTCACAAATAATCGTCCTTGTACAAGTATTTACTAAGAATTCTAGTACAATTTAAGCATATTTGTATTATCTATGATGCTTCGTAATCTTAGGTACGGACTGTACAAACCTGATTAAGATCTTACAGACTGCTCACCGTACAATGATTTACACAACTTGTCGAATTATAAAATAAATATAAAGAATAAAACATTAATATAAGACGTTACGGACTCAAATCCTTAAATGTATTAATATATTTGTTGCTTACAACGTTTCATCATGATCACCAAATTTAACTAATATTTTAAATGATTTAGCTACCTAGTCACGCGGGAGCACGAAGAGGTGAGTTTGAGAAAAGAGACGAAGCCCTGGCGAGCACGCTACTATTTATTACAGATTTACATACTCGAATTTTCAAACATCGAAAAATGAGTATTTTTGTCGGTATGCCTGATGTATTTTAGTTTAATTCAGTTTCTTTACCCTCATTTCACAGATTTACTGACAAATATGGGCCAGAAATTAGTTAGAGCAGTGAAAAAAGGTACCTGTGTATTTCAAAATGCTCAAATTTATTTCCTAAACTTCTGGCTCAGCCTTTAAGAAATGTTGTTTTAGTGTTAAGTTAGCTGCAAGCCAAATTTTTTCTGCGTGTAATTGGAATCGGCTTGTTCTTAAAATTAAGTAGAGCTGCGAACAGTGTGATATCGACTGCAAGGATTTCTTAATTTTACAGTAGATAGCACACAGCGTTGACAGTTTTTAGTGACTAAGATGGTAGACCGGTTACTTCCCGCCTGGATGGCTCAGATTCCAGACTCCGCTCTATCACTTCCTCCCGTATAACTTGGTGGTGTTTTTTTATGTAATCTAATCATTAGGATATTATATAAGTAGGCAACTCGCAACTGGTAGGTATAATGACTTTGACCATGGCATGCAAATATGAAAATAATTGGGATCAGAATTCTGGCAATTGCATCCTCGTGGACAACACATAAAGCTGCGAGACTAGGCTCCTTTCAAGTGCGCTATTTGAGTAGGTGTATTATTGTACAAAAACAGTTGGTTTTGACAAAGTCAATATGAAACAACATACAACAATAAAATAAATATTAAATACGCTAAAAAATATACGTCTTACTATAAGAAGGCTTTTTTACTACTGTCAACCGAAGCAGTGCATAGAGTAATTGAAATAGTATTGTTGTTTACAGATTATACAATGGAAAATTTGTATTTAAAACTGGATAAAATATAGGTATGATTATTCGAAAGATTTTACAGCCCGTATAATGGAGGTAAGTGAAATTTTAATAGCAAAAATTTTTAGGTCTCTAAAATATCTGAATTGCCACTTCAGTGCAGTCAATTAATGCATAAAAGTTTTTTCATTTTCCATAAAACGATAGTGTGTTCTTTTAGGAAATTCCAGCAGAAAATAAAAAATGTTGGATGACATTAAAAAATAATTGCCAGTTTTTCAAACAGATATGTGTACGAATTTTTTAATATTCTTTTCCACACGTATTTTCGAGAAGAAAAATCACTTAATTTTACAATTTAACGTAAACTCTTATAGATGTTATTTTTTTTAATTTTATTAAATGTAATTTTCTTAAAAGTTTACATTGGGTTTTTTTTTTTCAATTCATTAATTTTGTTATAGTAAACTTATTTTTAACTAGGAGGAATTTTTGAACTGCTTTAAAAAAGTTTTGGTATATTTAAACGGTATTTTAATAAGGGCCTACTAGTGAAATAGTTGACGAGGCAAAAAATCAGAGCTTTTGTTAAGATCACATAGATTGTTTTCTTGATCACTTTTAATCAACCTTCTTAAATAAATACTGCTTTATTTCAATTCAATTCAATAGTCAGACAACAATGATAGTACTATTTATACTGTTTACATTTTGTAAGAGTCTACTATCTCAGCTTACGAAATTAGCCTCTACGTTGCACTAATAGCTGAGTTCCGATTTTCGATCCCAATAGTTGAGGAACAAAGATGCCTGAGAGGAGGGGAGCAAGTGGATGACTCTTGTAGTAAAATCGTCCCATAAATAATCAATAATACTAATAATAAATATATGTGGCGAACCAAAGTCGTATATGTACGGATGTATCCGCAGCCATGATACACAGACAGACAAGACGTGGCATTGCCTTATCTTTTGTGGGTAGTCTTGTGTCACTTGCTGTTACAACTGTTTGCTATATTAAACCTGTTTTTTTTTGTTTTTTAGATCTGTATACACAATAAAAAATAATCCGAGGCAAAGTTAATTCAAACCACAGAAACACCTGCGAAAAAGTGACAGAGCGGGGTCTCGAACCCAAGCTTTAGGCGGAAGGCAAGCGTTTTACCACTTAAGCCACTGGAAGCCCTAGACGTGGTATTGCTAAGGAAGGACTCGGCGGCAAATTTTAAACATGCAAGAAAATTTCAATATCGTGTATACATCAAAACTTATCATTCTAACCCTGGATTTTGTGCGCCTTAAACATACACACCTTATTTTCAATATGAATTCGAAGATTTGTGATGAATAATTTATAAGAAAAAAATTTTTCGAAGTATCTAGTAAATTAACTAAATTTACCCGTTAAGGCCCTAAAGGACACATTTTTTTGGTGTTTTTCAATTAAAATAAAGATAGGTGAAATGATCTGCAAAAAATTTTGGACAGGTCAATTTCGATCGAAAATTTTCTGAACTTTCGAAACACGCTATTGGTTTTCGATTAAAACTAATTTTAATAGGTTATGTCTGCTTTTTTTTAGTGGAAAGTCGTGATTTTACTCAAATATTATTTCATAAAATCGATATTTTGCTTCGAAATCACTGTCAAATATGGTAGAAAAGTTTATAAAAAGTGTCTATAAACAATTTCAAATATAGTGTACATAGTGGCGTTCATTAATTCAAGATAGCAGTTTTCGAAATGGCGGCTTGAACGTGTAAAAATTACAGATACATTATATTTGGGGAAAATAACTGTCATTTCATCATAGACTTCTATAAAAATTTCTGTACATACATTTTTGTGGTCACTGATTACAAATCTCAGTTCAGATTTCAAAAATACAAAATAGTGGATCTAATATGGTGGACAAAATTTTCAAAAAATACCAGATACGGG